TGTTTCCAGGTTCTGGCTATGACAAACAAAGCTGCTGTGAACATAGTTGAGCACATGTCCTTGTGGCACGATTGAGCATCCTTTGGGTATATACCCAAAAGTGGTATTAGTGGGTCTTGAGGAAGGTTGTTTCCTAATTTTGTGAGAAATCGCCACACTGACATCCAAAGGGGTTGGACCAGCTTGCATTCCCACCAGCAATGCAGAAGTGTTCTCTTTTTCCCACAACCTCTTCAGCATAAGTCGTCATCAGTGCTTTTGATCTTGTCCATTCTTACAGGTGTAAGATGGAATCTCAGAGTTGTTTTGATTTGCATTTCTCTGATGACTAAGGATGTTGAACATTTCCTGAAGTGTCTTTCAGCCATTTTAGATTCCTCTGTTGAGAGTTCTCTGTTTAGGTCTGTACTCCATTTTTTTTTAATTGGATTATGTGATCTTTTGGTGTCCAATTTCTTGAGTTCTTTGTATATTTTGGAGATCAGACCTCTGTCTGATGTGGGGTTAGTGAAGATCTTTTCCAATTCTGTAGGCTGTCGTTTTGTCTTGTTGACCGTGTCCTTTGCTTTACAGAAGCTTCTCAGTTTCAGGAGGTCCCATCTGTTAATTGTTTCTCTCAGTGTCTGTGCTGCTGGGGTTATATTTAGGAAGTGGATCCCTGCGCCAGTGTGTTCAAGTGTACTTCCCACTTTCTTTTCTATAAGGTTCAGTGTGGCTGGCTTTATGCTGAGGTCTTTAATCCATTTGGATTTGAGTTTTGTACATGGTGATAGATATGGGTCTATTTTCATTCTTCTACATGTTGATATCCCATTTATGCCAGCACCACTTGTTGAATATGCTTTCTTTTTTCCATTTGATATTTTTTGCTTCTTTATTCAAAAATCAGGTGTTCGGAAGATGTGTGGATTGATATCTGGGGTCCATTGGTCCTCCTGTCTGTTCTTATTCCAATACCAGACTGTTGTTGGTACTGTAGCTCTGTAGTAGAGTTTAAAGTCAGGGATTGTGATGCCTCCAGAAGTTCTTTTATTGCCCAGGATTGTTTTGGCTATCCTGGGTGTTTTCCTTTTCCAAATGAAGTTGAGTACCATTCTTTCAAGGTCTTTGAAGAATTTTCCTGGGATTTTGATGTGCCGATAGTTTTGATTTTATGTATTTGTTTATTTATTGTGACAGGGTCTTGTATAGTCAAGGCTGGCCTTGAACTTGTTACTATATAGTCAAGGGTGACTTCGAACTCCAGATCTTCCTGCCTTCCCAAATGCTGGGATTACAGGTGTGTGCCAGCATTTTTAACCTGAAAATAGGTAATAACAGAACTAAATTTTAAATATTTTTTTTCAGTCAAGTTGTCTTCATAGAGAAGGTATTTATGGAAGATTGAGAGTTTAGTTTTTAACATGCTGGTATGTTGTCTACTAGACATCGGGGCTTTGTGAGGAAGATAGTAGAATCCATGTGTTTCCTCTCCGTCCTTCCAGCTCACCGACCAGTCATGGCTCCCAGCTGGCGTTCGAGTGCCCCTCCACCAGGTGCCCTATGCTGTGAAGGGTTCCTTCCGCTTCCTGCCTCCGTCCCAGATCACTGTCGTGGGCAGCTACCTTCTGGGCACTTGTATCCGACCAGACGTCAACGTGGATGTGGCGCTGACCATGCCCAGGGTAAGGCCCGTGGTTTGGGGGTGTAGAGGGCCGCCACTCTGAGGGTAGCTTAGATGGGCCCTTGGTCCAGTTACTGTCCCTTTGAGCTCTTCGTCTGAACGTTGGATATGATGCTCCCGTTGTGTTACGCACTCCTGAGTCAGTGATAGTGCCCTGGGAATTAAAATTAAGCCTAGCTTTGACCTAGCCCCTAGCTCCATAAGCACTTCTGTGTCTGACTTCTCTCTCTTTTTTTTTTTTTTTTGGTTTTTCGAGACAGGGTTTCTCTGTGGCTTTGGAGCCTGTCCTGGCACTAGCTCTAGCTCTGTAGACCAGGCTGGTGACTTCTCTCTTTTTCCCTGACTCCTCCAGGAAATCTTCCAGGACAAAGACGGCCTGAACCAGCGCTACTTCCGCAAGCGTGCTCTTTACCTAGCTCACTTGGCTTACCACCTGGCCCAGGATCCTCTCTTTGGCAGTGTTCGCTTCTCTTACACCAGTGGCTGCCACCTGAAGCCCTCGCTGCTGCTGCGGCCACAGGGTGGGAGTCACCCACTGGGTTTGGTGCACAGTGTGGGGTGACAAATCCGGATGGGGGTGGTCACAAGGTCCGAAAGGTCTAGAGAGTAGAAATAGGAGCCTTAAGGCCAAGGTGAGAGGCATTGGTCTCAAATTATGAGGTGGAAAGTCATAGGTGCCCCAAGTATGAGGGGGTGGTGAGGGGATCCCTCTGGTTTCAGGAGTTGTAGGATATCAGTATTCCTTGTCCCCGCCTAGGGAAGGATGAGCGTCTGGTTACTGTACGCCTGCATCCGTGTCCTCCTTTGGACTTCTTCCGCCCTTGCCGCTTGCTGCCAACCAAGAACAATGTGCGTTCTGCCTGGTACCGAGGGCACAGTGCTCCGGAGAATGGTCAGTAGGCACTGGTGTTGGAATGTGTTGGTGGACCGGGGTTTTGCGGAGGCTTTGTTCCTCACAGCTTCTATATATTTTTTCCTCAACAGCTAGCCCAGAGCCCCCCACACCCCACTATAACACATGGATCCTGCAGGATACAGCTCTTGAGTCCCAAATGCACCTGCTATCCATTGTGTTGGGCTCTGCCCAGGGGCTGAAGGATGGTATAGCACTTCTGAAGGTTTGGCTGCGGCAGCGGGAGCTGGACAAGGTGAGCTGAAGGTGCCCTAGTGGCCTCCCCTCCCCATGTTACTGGCTGCTTCTGAGCTCAGATCTGTTGTGTCTCTTTCAGGGCCTGGGTGGATTTAATGGCTTCCTTATTTCCATGCTGGTTGCCTTCCTCGTGTCTAAGCGCAAGATCCATACTACCATGAGCGGCTACCAGGTCCTGAGAAGTGTCTTGCAGTTTCTGGGTAAGGCAGCTAGATTGGGAAGGCCAGGGGTTCCACTTACCCCGGGGACCCAGCTCCTTTAGTTCCTTGTCACCAGATGAGAAACAAATAGGTATAGCCACCCGGGCTGCGGGAGGGTGTCCCTGCGGCTGGGTCCCAAGGGAAACCTCCTAACACCTCCCCTCTTTAATCTAGCCACTACGGATCTGACGGTCAACGGAATCAGTTTATCTCTGGGTTCAGATCCCTCCATGGTGAGTTAGGGAAGGTCAGGGCTGTGCCAGGACCCGAAGGTAGCCGTGACTGGCCCGATCAGTCCTGACTGTCTTCTCTCTGCCTGGCAGCCAGTCCTGGCCGACTTCCACCAGGTCTTCCCAGTTGTGTTCCTGGACTCCACAGGCCACCTCAACCTCTGTGCCGATGTCACAGCTTCTACTTACAAGCAGGTACCCGCGGGCTCCTAGTCCTGTATCCTCCAGAGGTCCCAGCCCAGACGCTGTTCCTTTGTCAGACACTCCCCTCCAAAGAAGTAAGGTCAGAGGTGACCCCTTCAGCCCATGAGGGTGACAGCTGTGGCCCCTCCTTTACCCTGTGGCCCAGGTGCAGCACGAGGCCCAGCTGTCCATGGCCTTGCTGGACAGCCAAGCTGACGATGGATTTCACTTGCTGTTGATGACTCCCAAACCCATGGTGCGGGCTTTTGACCACATTGTCCAGTGAGTTTGGGGCTGATACAGGGTGCGGGTCATTGCGGGGGGGGGGGGGGGGGGAAGCAGCAAGGACCTAGTGGGCCCTAATTGGTCCTCTTCATCCTATGCCCTCCAGTCTCCGCCCACTGAGTCGTCTGCAGGCAGCATGTCACCGGCTAAAGCTCTGGCCAGAGCTACAGGACAATGGTGGGGACTATGTTTCGGCAGCTTTGGGCCCGCTAACCGCGATTTTGGAGCAGGGTCTGGGGTCCCGGCTGCGCCTTCTGGCTCACTCTCGGCCTCCAGTCCCAGAGGTGAGACCGGGTATGATGGGGAGTTTGTGGGGTCCCAAGGGACACCAAAGACGAGCTGCCCAGCTGGCTAGTTTCTAGACCAGGCTGGGGGACGTTGGGGTTGAACTCGCCCCTTTTATTCCCTACAGTGGGACATCAAGGAAGATCCACCGAAGCACAAGGACTGTGGGACCCTGACCCTGGGGTTGCTCCTCCAGCCTGAGGGACTGACCAGTGTTCTTGACCTAGGTCCTGAGGCTGACCGGCCTGAGGTGTGCAGCCCCAGCCTGTCCGTGGGGAGGAGTGGGTGGGTCCCCCTCATGCTGCCCGAGCTGAGGCCTCTCATGGTGGAGCTTTCTGAGACAGCCTAGTTTGCTTCAGCGCTTAGGATTGAGCCTAGCTAGGGCTTCGAGCGTGCTGGTAGGCAAGGCCTACTGCTGCTACACCCTGACTCAGTCTCTCTTTCCTGATCTTTCCTCCCATCCTTTGCTTCTCCCCAGGCTGCTGAGTTCCGTCAGTTCTGGGGGTCCCGCTCAGAACTGAGACGTTTTCAGGACGGAGCCATCCGGGAAGCTGTGGTCTGGGAGGCGGCCTCTGTTTCTGAGAAGCGCCTTATTCCTCAACAGGTGGTCACCCACCTCTTGGCACTGTGAGTGTTAGCATCTTCATGCTAGGAAGCTGCTGTGGTCAGTGGACGTAGCCCCTGATGCCCTCATTGTATCTGTGTTCTTTAGCCATGCTGACATCCCAGATACCTGTGTCCACTATGTGGGTGGTTTCCTTGACGCACTGATCCAAGGCCCGAAAGAGGTAAGAGCCTGAGTCTGACCAAGTGATTGTAGAGTGATACTGCGGGGCAAGACTGGAAAGAACCTTTCCTACTGCAGCCAGCCTGCATCTTCTGTGTCCAGCAGGGGGTGCTGTGGTCCTGCAGGATCCTAGATGGTGCTGGGGTTCTGTAAGATCCAGACTTCTTCCTGAGTGTCTTCTCTCCTCCAGCTGTCCAACACAGGTGAAGAAGCCCTGGCATCAGCTGTGCGTAGCTATGATGACCTCAGCCGCCTGCTGTGGGGGCTGGAAGGACTCCCACTCACCGTGTCTGCTGTTCAGGGAACTCACCCAGTGCTGCGCTATACAGAGGTGAGGTGGGGAGTCCCTTCCGGTTGGTGCCTCCCTCACACCTCTGTTCAGTCCCTTTTACCTCCTGTCTCTGGCTCTCCCTCCCTGCTAAAGTTATCGTCCTCATTTCTTCTATAGGTATTCCCTCCAACCCCGGTTCGGCCTGCCTATTCCTTCTATAAGCATCTCAAAGAGCGGGCTTCCCTGTTGCCCCGGCTGGATAAGCCCTGCCCAGCCTACGTGGAGCCTATGACTGGTAAGAGGGTCCTGGGGAGGGAGTGGGAGAGGCAGCAGGCTCCCAGTATTAGATCTCTCGCCCCTTTTATTCTTCAGTGGTTTGTCACCTCGAGGGCAGCGGAAAGTGGCCTCAGAGTGCCGAGGCTGTGCAGCGGGTCCGAGCTGCCTTCCAGCTGCGCCTGGCGGAACTGTTGTCGCAGCGGCATCGGCTGCAGTGCCGCGCCACCGCCACACACACCGACGTCCTCAAGGTCAGACTGGTGCAGGCTGGGAAACCACAGAGAACGGGCTCCAGGGGTGTCCCTGTGGGTCCTGTGGTCGCCTGCGGGTAGTGTGCTAGGGGCCCAGGGGTACAGGCAGCAGAGCGCCCCCTTGTGTTCTGACATCACTTCCTTTGCCGCATCTTCCCACAGGATGGGTTTGTGTTCAGAATTCGAGTGGCCTATCAACGGGAGCCACAGATCCTGAAGGAGGTACGGAGCCCCGAGGGCATGATCTCTATGAGAGACACACCCGCCTCCCTCCGCCTTGAGAGAGAAACCAGGCTGTTGCCCCTGCTCACCAGTGCCCTGCATGGGTAAGGCTCCATGCATAAGCTCGTCTTGGATGTAGGCCTTCCCCTGCCCCCGTTCTGCTCGCCTGGCTACCAGACTCTCTGAGAGGCCAGATAGCACCTCTGTTACTAATGGTGATACCGTTAGTAACAGCCTCCCAGGTGTTTGCCCGGCTAATATGCAATAGTACATGTAACACATTAGCACAGAGGCCAGCGTGGGGCAGGGGTCTAATGCCCGTGGCTGTAGGGCTAAAATGCTGTGTGGGGCTCTGGGTTCACGGCTCTCACTACCATTCCTTCCTCTCCCAGACTCCAGCAGCAGCACCCGGCCTTCTCAGGTGTGGCTCGCCTGGCCAAGCGGTGGGTACGTGCCCAGCTTCTGGGTGATGGATTCACCGATGAGAGCCTGGATCTGGTGGCTGCTGCCCTCTTCCTGCACCCCGAGCCCTTCACCCCTCCCAGGTAGTTCCTCCAACATTTTTCTAACCCCGGAAGTTGCCCTTCGTGATGCAGTTTTTACTCTAAATGGGGGAGGGTGGCTACGTCCCCCATGAGGACAGTCCCAGACCCAGACTTCCCGGATTGTAGAAGCCTGGGAAGGGGGACGTGAGGCCTCATGTTCTTTCTCATCTGTCTGCTCAGCTCCCCGCAGGTTGGCTTTCTTCGATTCCTTTACCTGGTCTCTACCTTTGATTGGAAGAACAACCCACTCATTGTCAACCTCAACAGTGAACTGACTGGTAAGCGGTAGACTCGGGTCAGACCACTAGAAGAACTGCCCTTATAGATGGCACAGAAAGACAGACAGGGTCTCCCTGGAATTCTGTCAGGGAAGCCTCCCACGTCCCAGATGGCTAAGCCTAACTGTCTATCTTGGGGACTAGGATTGTCAGGAGGAAGAAACCCCCCACCCCCCATGGAGTCTGGCTTAGAGAGCTTTGCCCATGTGGTCCATGACAGAATGGACCGGGCTGGTGAGCAGGCCACCCAGGGCTGTGGAGAGAGGGGAGAGCAGAGAAAGGCTTCTTGAATGCTAGGTGAGAGGTCTTGTGGCCGGGGAGCAGGAAGTTAGACTGGGTGCCCACACCTTGGAGGTGGGATTGTTGGTTTCCCATTGTAATCTTAGGAGCTCTGGGTCTCAGCAGAGAACAGGGTGTCGGGTTCCTAATTCTCCAGGTGTGTGAGAGCCCAGGACGAGGGGGGCCTTGGGCAGGCCTCGGCTTGTGCAAGCCGGAGACTAGTCTAGGGGTGACAAGCAGGGGAACTCTGCCTCTGGGCTGGTGCTGGGAGATTAACACCCTACCCCATTGAGGCCACGTGGTGTCCCTTTCATAACCTTTGTCCTTTAGGAGAGAGGTATTGGAAAATTCCTATGATGGGCAGTTGCTAGTTACACGGTCTGTGTGGGGCTGACATGGCATCCCCTCTGTCTCTAGCTGAGGAGCAGGTAGAGATTCGAAGTAGTTTCCTGGCAGCTCGGACACAACTCCCGGTCATGGTCATCATTACTCCCCAGGACCGCAGAAGCTCTGTGTGGACGCAGGATAGACCCTCTGCCCAGGTTCAACCCCCTACCTGTCCCAAAATTAAATTTTTTTTCTAATACTGAAAAGAAAGGCCCAGGCCAAGCTCAAAGAACCATGGTCAGTCAATCTTGTGACTTTTCTATGTCCCAGATCCTTCAGCAGCTCGTGATACTGGCCGCTGAAGCCCTCCCTGTCCTGGAGAGGCAGCTGATGGATCCCCGGGGGCCTGGGGACATTAGGGTAAGCATCTGACTCAGGGTTTACTCCTAGGGCCAGAAGTCCAGAGTCGAGGGCTTCTCAGGGTACCCAGTTGCTCTGTGTGGTGAGACAATACAGAAAAGCTTTGAAGCTGCCATGGTGGCCGGCAGTGGTAGAGCCTGTCAGAAATCCTGGGCGTCCTTTTGCCTTCTGCTTCTGGACTCCAGCTGGCCTGGCTGCTTCCCTCACTGGGACTTGCTGTTCTCACCTTCTGTGGGCACACAAGCCCTTAATGGATGACCAGGTGCTTGGGCGTGAGGTACGTGGAAGGGTAACTAACGTAAAGGCTTCCGTAGACAGTGTTCCGGCCACCCTTAGACATGTACGATGCACTGATCCGCCTGACTCCCCGCCACATTCCCCGGCACCGGCAAGCCGTGGACTCTCCAGCTGCCTCCTTCTGCCGGGGTCTGCTCAGTGAGCCAGGGCCTTCGTCTCTGATGCCTGTCGTGGGCTACGATCCCCCTCAGCTCTATCTGGCAGAGCTCAGGGTAAGTTGTAAAGGACTGGCGGGCCTGGGGAGTGTTCAGGGGTGCTGGAACCGTGGAGGAGGTCCTAGGTGCCTGTTGTGATCTCATTTGTGTTCTGTCCCTTCCAGGAGGCCTTTGGAGATCTGGCACTTTTCTTCTATGACCAGCATGGTGGGGAGGTGATTGGTGTCCTCTGGAAACCCACCAGCTTCCAGCCCCAGCCCTTTAAGGTATGCTGACCAGTGACTGTCAACACATTGCTGAGTGTGCACACGTGGTTCTCTGCGGGTATGCCTTTCCGTGTGGCCCTGGGTCAAGTACATGTCAGGGCTCATATGCCTGTCCACACTGCCCCCGACCTTGCAGCTCAGTGTGTGCTTTGGTGACACCCAACTCAAACTTACTCTCTGATTCTTCAGGCCTCCAACGTAAAGGGACGCATGGTGGTGTCTCGAGGTGGGGAGCTTGTGATGGTGCCCAACATAGAGGCAATCTTGGAGGACTTTGCGGTGTTGGGTGAAGGCCTGGTACAGTCTGTAGAGGCCCGAAGCGAGAGATGGACTGTGTGACTCCAGCATTGACAAGCAGTAGGAGGGCCATGGGACCTTGGACGTCTGGAGCAGACGCTGCTTCATGGACACATGAGAAAGCCTTGCCAGATTTTTCAGTTCTGTGCTTTAGCGCTGGGGCGGGGGCCATGGTGTCTTGTGTCCCCAGACCTGACCAACCAAATTCTCGGAAGAGGAGGAGCCAGCTCAGAGGAAACTGAATCCACCAGATCCTTTTGCCTATCAGTTCCGAATCAGCCTGGACTGTTTTTCTTCACTTTTGTTTCTCTCTCCATCTTCATCTTGAAACAGTTGAAGGACATGTGCCTGCCTGGTGTGGAGGCCAGGTCTTCATCCCACTGGCAGGACATACGTGCCCAGATAGCAGTTGTGCCTTCAGATCTTTAGATAGGACCCAGAGAAGTATGGCCGTTCCTGAAGTGGACCAACACCAACACTGTACAGTGGAAAAGGGGTTGTGCGTGTATGAATAGAGCCCATTGAACAACCGCAGTGCCTTTCCGTGTTAGTGCCTCCCAGCAGAGTAACAGTGGGGAGAAGACCTGGACCTGACAGGGCCTGGGTGTGTGGAGTTGAGGGGGATCCTCCAGTCCAGAAGGAATGCATACAGCACTGGGTGCTGCTGCCTGGCCTCAGTGTGAGTCCTGCCTGTCCTTTGCGGCTGCCTATCATTCCCCATGACTGTGCTACACCTGCTCTCTCTCCGGGAGCTCTGAGTGAGGCAGGATGCTGCCTCTCAGCCTGATCCAGCCCACTTCTGGCAGCCACTCCCTTCTTTTCTCTCCTAATCCTGGATGGTTGTTTTAGACTCAGCTCATATAGCACCCCTCCTAGTCCCTGCCCTCACCCCAGCCTGAGGTGTGCTTTCCCTCTTGAATGGAGAACGTAGTTGCTCCTTGTTGAGTTCACTTGGCAGGCATGCATACCGGTGCGCACGTCTGTTGTCTGGAACTCTGATTTGAGATTAAACTGCTTAATGCTTTCTGGGCACCTGAGTTGTGTTTTCTCATAATTTTAGCCTGCTGTGTGAGAAAGGTCCGGGAGGACAGAGCATGCTGAACACAGACGATGTGTGCTCCTCATGGCACCTAGAATGGGGCTCAGGGAGGAGGCAGATGTGTATAAAAGGAACACCAAGCCCAAGCAAGGGGAGACGGTACCACCAGGAGCCAGAACTTGTGGACTATGCCTAGAGCAGGGAGGGGGCGGCACTGAAGGAAAGCCTAAGACTAACTGGGTGTAGTGATGTCTCATAACCTTTAACCCCAGCACTCAAGAGGCAGAGCCAGGCAGATCTCTTGAGTTTAATTCTAGCCTGGCCTACAGAGTGAGTTTCAGGACAGCAAGGGCTACACAGAGAAACCCAGTCTCTTTCAAGCAAAAAACAGAAGCTGGAGAGATGATTCAGTACTTAAGAGACACTGGCTGCTTTTCGAGAGATCCTTAGTTCAGTTCCCTGCAACCACATGGTGGCTCTCAACCTTCTATAGCTAGTCCCATGGGATACGATGCCCTCTGGTGTGCAGACATACATGCAGACAGCATCCATATATTTAAAATACACAAATAAGCCATCACTGTTAGAATTAGGTGTTGGTTTTCACATTTTTTCTTAGTCTTTTGAGACAGCATCCTGTGTAGCCCAGGCTGGCCTTGAACTCATGTGTAAAAGTGAACCTGGCGTTGAATTATTCTTGAATCTCCTGCTTCTGCCTCCCAAGTGCTGGGGTTATGAGTATATGTCATCATGCCTGGCTTGACTTCCATATTTTGTGTAGAAATGTGGTTATATAATCATATCAGTCCTAGAAAGGAGGTACTTGACCAGGCAGTGATGGTGCACGCCTTTAATCCCAGCACTTGGGAGACACAGGCAGGCCCATCTCTGAATTGGAGGCCAATCCAGACTTAAGAGAGTTGCAGGACAGCCAGGGCTACACACAGAAACCCTGTCTTGGGGCTGGAGAGATGGCTCAGTGGTTAAGAGCATTGCCTGCTCTTTCAAAGGTCCTGAGTTCAATTCCCGGCAACCACATGGTGGCTCACAACCATCTGTAATGAGGTCTGGTGCCCTCTTCTGGCCTGCAGGCGTACACACAGGCAGAATATTGTATACATAACAAATAAATATTTAAAAAAGAAAAAAAAAGAAACCCTGTCTTGACAAAACCAAAGCAGGGGTGGGGGGAGGGGCGGCAGGGAGAAAGAAAAGGTATTTTTAACTCCTTTCTGAATGAGGAATCAGGCTCAGTGCTGGGTGGGATCAGAAATGCATAGATAACCAGTGAGCTCCACCATGGTGAGAAGCCACGTGCAGGAAGGAACTCTGTTTCCAGTTTTGTCTTCGAGCACTTTATCCTGTCTCTGCTCTCATGGGACAGCTCAGCCCAGGTTTGAAATAAGCAGAGGAGATGTGATGGACTGGATTCTACATCCATGTTCTACAGCTCATGTGAAGAAGCACCTGTGTCAGCACCTTTCCCTTGCAAAGCCCTGTAGCTATGGTCTAGGGTTGCCCTTGGCTTGTCTCTGCCCCTTTGCCTTTGGTTCCTTGGCTTATTTCTGCACAATTCCTCTGTGGGCTCTAAGGAAATTCAGGATTGGCTGGCCCTTTTCAAAACCATCCTGTTTCATCCCCAGGGTGGCTTCAGGCCCTTGTACCAGTCCGGTTCTGGATGGTTCAGTTGGAGGAAGAAGTGGGTAGAGTGGCCTGGAGGCAGGTCTATAGCAGGCTGGGGGTCTATAGCAAACAGGTGGGAGGCCTATAGCAGGTGGCAGATCTGTAGTAGGTGTGTCTGGGCGGTATAGATGCCAGAAACCATCAGGGCTTGGGCCTCTGGCCTGACTCACTCTTGCCATCTATAGAAGACACACAACAATGACTTTGTCGAGTGCCCTCAGCATGCCCAAGTGGCGAAAGAAGAGGCTGTGAGCTCAGAAACCCAAGGAGCCATACCATACCTTCCCGCATACCACTCTTGCCTGAGCCAGGGCGGGAAGCCCAAGCTTTCACTTAAATCCCTCACAAGGCAGCTCCAACCTGTTCTCAGATCTCCGGGAGGCAAGGCAAGAAATGACTCTGCCCTGGCTCTTTGCTACAGTGCTCCATGACACCTGTGTGGCCACTCATGTCTCAGTCCACTGAGGCATCTGAAGAGGGAGCTCCTCAGGTGTCCACTCGGGAGCTAGAACGGGGTGGGGTGGGGGGGGTCAGAGAAAGCCTTTGTGTGTGTGTGTGCTAGAGATGGTGTTGGGGGTCCATCCCCATGGGGGCACCGGCCTCTGCATGTTCTTCAGTGCAGGTGGACAGGTAGGGTCATTTGATCTCCGGCATGGTCCTGTGTGCAGCAAGTAGGCATAGCACATGTGCACACACACACACACGCATCCTTATGCCTTGTACAGCACAAGGAATCACCACAAAGAGGGACATCTGACTTCAGAGTTCAGGTCTGGTAAGAGGCAGGAATGTAGGAAGCCTGGACTTCTTCCTGTGGCTCCGAGAAAAGCTGTTCCCTTTGGGAGGGGGGATGTTCGGACTTCCAAAGTTCTGACAATTCAAATCCTCTTTTGTTCCATATGGAGAACCCCCGAAAGGGGCCTCTTCCCTGGCTACAATACAGTCAGCCTCCTCTCAATCCAAATCTTAGTTAAAGCCCCAATTTTCTGCCACCCAGCTCCTTACTTTGGAAGAAAAAGCACAGTGCCCCCCAAACCCAGGGGTCTGAGAATCAGGTTACACTCAATGGAGTCCTAGAGTCAGATTTGAGCTAACCAGCCTCTCCCCAATATATATGTCACCCCCCAGCATCCGGTACTTGTGAGTCAGGTATTAATCCAGGTGAGTGATAAGGGAGAGGAGAATCGTGAGGTCCTGAGTCACCCTGCTTTCCACGGGAAAGGCCATTGCCCATCAGCCTGCTTCAGGCAAGGGGGTGGCACCTCGGATTACTGCCTTCCCCTCCCCCCCGGGAACTAAGTGGGACCCAGGAAAGGGGCGTTCCAGAGGGAGACTTCCTCTTGCTCCTCAACTTCTGAGAGGTGGGTGGGGAGCATGGTTTTTCTGGTTTATATGAGGTTCAGCCGTGTAGGAACTTGTCCAGGGAAGCACCGGGAGTTGGGGGTAAGGCCCCAAGCTGCTCTGGCCAGGCCGAGCCTGCCATTCGGGCCAAGGGGTGAAGTGAGGTGAGATGTGGTGAGGGGGGCGAAGGAGAGAAAGGCCTGAGCGGTAGGTCTGTCCAGAAGCAGACAAGGAGGGTGCATCCCAGCTCAGGCCCAAACTTCTGCCCCTGAGAAGCAAGACCTAGTTTTCCTCTACTTCACAAGACAGAGCTTGAAATTCCCAAGAACTGAAGAGGTTGATTTGGCCTCGACTGAAGGGCAGCACTGAGATCCAGTGTCAGTCCAAGTGTGGCTGAAAAAGATACACAGAAGCTGGGAGGTGGCGCAGGCCTTTAATCTCAGCACTCGGGAGGCAGAGGCAGGCAGATCTCTGTGAGTTCGAGGCCAGCCTGGTCTACAAGAGCTAGTGCCAGGACAGGCTCCAAAGCTACAGAGAAAC